ATATATATATATAATATATATGAAGTTGTCCAGTGTTCCATAGTGAGTAAATTGCAGAGTTGGGATTTGAACCCAGGCAGATAGGAAACCCGGATTCTTGTCCAAGTTCTAGCAGGACTTGCCACTAGGACATGTCCCTGAACCTTATTGTCCCCATTAATAAAATGAGGGAAGTGGACTAAATCCGAGTATGCAGGTTCCAACACTGGGTGCCTGCCCAAGGGATGAGGCAGGTAAGGGAAATGTGGACGGAACGTAAGGCAATACCGAGATGTGGGGACAGTGGTAATGAGAGATCTCGAATCCTGTCTAAAGGAAGGCAACTGCTGCTCACATTCAGTGGTGTTTTGTTGGTGATGGTGGGCTTTTTGTTTTTGTTGTTCTTGACAGATATACTTTCATTTCATTTTGTTTTACAAGAGAAGCTGGAAGTCTGGATACTTTTGTATAATTTATCAGTGTTTAGAACCCTTGGAGAGGCCAGCCGTACACATGGGCTGGCTGATTTATGACCTCTTGACTAGCTGATCTCCCCTGACTTAAAGGATTCCATGATTGAATAAGCTGTTTTTACACAGTGGTGGAAACAAAATCCAAATTACAGAAATAGGCAGTTTAAAACATTAATGAAAGGGAGTATGGATTTAGAAAGTGTCTCAACACAGCCTACATAAATATTGATTAGGAGCCAGGTTAATTGAAAAGCCAAGGTACACTAATAGAAGAACAAAGTATTTCTTTGTGTTCCTTTTGTGTTGTATTAAGAGTAAATCAGCAATATTTATCCAATGCTAATTCTCAGTTTGCAGACAGCTAATGGAATTATGAGACGAGCTTATTGAAATTCTTTTCTTAGACATAGAGACTTGCCCAAGAATGGTGAGTATTAGGAACTTTAGTCAGCACTTGTTCAGAATAGTAAATTCGAGCATGTGATCTATGCCATTGTGTGTACAAAGTAATGTTTCCTGAGACATTTTCTATATATATATTGGCTGTTTTGTTTTTTGGGTTGGTTTGTTGTTTCCCCTCCTCTGCTTATCAGATTTCCTTCTAAATCCTGGCATTTGACAATGTTGCAGGGCCAGTTTCTCTGTGAATCCAGTAAAACATACTGGTGGTTTCACAATTAAGCCAAATTTGGGTTTATGGCTTATGCAGGTTTATGTGAATTCCTGCGTTTGTTTTTGTGTATTGTGTATATACTCAGAAGGTCCTTTTCAAAGAGAAAAGGAGGGTGGGCAGAATCTCTGGTCTGAATCTGGAAAGATGGGTTTATTCATCAATGACATCATTAGGACTGTATTTTCTCTTGGTTAATAAACTATTTGTTTGGCGGGTATTGGAAGCCAGCCAGAGCTAGTCATGCCATTTCTTGGAAATGATCTGAAGCAACTGGTAATTGAAATGATAATCATTTGATCAGAGTGAGAGCTATTTGAAAATAACACTCATCTCCAAACTTGTCTCTTCTAGGGAACCATATTTGGTAAAATTGTTGTCAAATTCCATCTTGGCTAATGTTGAGACTTATATAGCATGATAATTATTTTCCAGTCTATTCTAAACGAGATTTCTGATCTGCCCTGTCCAGAAGCTGTTCCCATATGTTTTGAAACAATAACCCAGGCTGAATTTTCAGTCTGACATTTAATAATAACCATGTAATAGCTATAAAATGCGTGACAACTACAGATCTTTTATTGCAAGAGGATAGTGTAGTGAATCAGAGTGAAATCATCCGTTGAAATGGTACTTTGTAATATGCCCCATTGTTTACGTAAAGCATTGAAATATTTTTTTCTTGAGCAGAGGGTCAAAATAGTTTCCACTTTGTCTCCCATTTAGTGGAAGTTCATAGTTAATCGTGATAAGAGAAAAGATTCCATTACGAAAGTTTTACTTTTCATTTTTGATAGAGTATTTGTTATTTTGCTACTGCCTAACAAACTTTCTTCTCAGAAGCAGCTCAGCTTGGAACTGGAGGAGCAAAAGTGTAATTTTAGATCCCACCTTAAAATATTTTTAAAAACTAAACCCAGGGTTGTTGTTTTTTTATTGTGTGAGACTTATCTTAATAAACCCTTTTTTGTTTGCTTTGGAGTAGCGTGTGCAATGCTGTGGGGTGTGTGTGTGTGTGTGTGTGTGTGTGTGTGTGTATGTGTGTGTGTGTGAAGGAGGAAAGAGTCATGTTTAACAGCAAAATTAGTCAAAATCACTTGTGAATTCCTTTTGTTTAATAGCTTAGAGACATCTTCCTGTTGTTGTTTGTCAAAAATATTTCTCAGATTTTGTAAGCTTGGGGGTTTTCACAGCTAAGCTTTTTTTTCAGAAATGTGAACTAAAAGAAATGAAAGAAGTCAGTTCAAGTTGAAATGTCAAAGGTTTCAAATAATTTAACTTAAAACCCAGTGAGATGATCTTAAGCCTTTTCCAAAGAATCTTTGAGTAAGAGAGGCCCTCCTCTGCTCCATGTATGGACATCTATTAAATATCTCGCTGGATTAATTCTGAGTCAGAAAAGTTGGTTGTTTCCTGGAAGCAATTAGAGATGCTTAAAATTCAAATTTATGATCCATAGGAGAAACTTAAGTTTCAACTACTTTTCTTAGATTCAAAGGCTTTCTCCTCACTCGCCCTCTCGCCTCTTACCCCATATGTATTAAAAGAAAAAAAATCAGTACATTTCTCAACTTACAAAGTTTTTAAGAAACATGAGTATGTGTAAGTTTCTTTCAGTGGGAAGCACATAACATTTATGAAGTATTTCTTTTGGGATTACATCACAGTTTTATTTAATTTTTAGGACAAAAGTTAAATTCAATATTTGTGTGTAAGCCAAGGGAAAATGTACCATAAACATAGGAATTTTAGGGTGAGTCAGAGTTCCAAGAATCCCAGATTTACTTAGACTATTTATATAGAGACAGGCTAACCATTAGTCATCTAGTTCTCACTTTTTTACTTTTGCAATTAATTGCACTTAAAAATTAGCTTTCACCCAAGTGGTTAGATAGGCAGAGTGAGTTTTGGCAACTAGCATTAAAAAATGGCTGTTAGAATTACTGCCCAAGTTTTGTACTTTCTAATCATATAACAAATATATCTTATAAATTATTCCTCAACTAGACAACCAGCAGTGAAAAAACACTGAAATGAAGTGAGTTATTGAAGATTCTCTGTCACCGAAAAGCACATTGTCAGCTGGCGTAAGGTTAAGCTGCTCAAATAGTTTTTCAGATGGGCTTTGTTGAAAATTTATCATTTACCCCAGAACCACAAATAATGGTTTTTGTTCTTTCCCCAACCACCTATTGTAGGATGAAGTCATTGCTGTTTCTGAAAAAGTGATTGTGAAGCTTGAAGACCTGGTCAAGTGGGTACATTCTGATTTCTCCAAGTGGAGATGTGGCCTCCGCGCTGGGTCCCTGAAAACAGAGGCCTTGGGAAGGAATGGACAGAAGGAAGCTCTGCTGAAGTACAGGCAGTCAACCCTCAACAGTGGACTCAACTTCAAAGACGTCCTCAAGGAAAAGGCTGACCTTGGTAAATACACTTCGTACTTCTAAATCCAATGTGTGGGCGTATACAGTAACCTTTTTTGGTTGTAGATTTTTCTGGAAACCCTGATATATATTTGCTGATATATATACATATAAATACTGTATAAATATAATATATATATATGTTCT